TCCATGGGAGGAGAGTGTGCTGGGGGACATCTGCCTTGAATCTGCACCAGATTCTGCGTTCAATCCAGCTGGTTTAAGGGCTGGACATTGCTGACTGAGGGTACACAGCTGATCCTTGACATGGGCTCCCCGTGGGTCACCTATAATGCATTTGCTTTACGTGCACCTTGAAGCTGCCATGATTTGAAAGGGAAGTACTGACCCTACGCTGCCAGTCGGTGCTGAAGGCTTTAAGGTGAAAATCTTTAACTTTTAGAGCAGTTGGACAGCTTGGTAGTTCCAAGGAGCCACGGCAAGGAAGCCCAGGTGGGAAGGCACCATCCGTCTTGCTTTGATGTCTGTCATGGCTTGGCCGGATTTGAGCTTTGTCAAGTGGAGTCGGGCTGCACCGGGTGCCAAGGATCAGTCTGAACGAAGTCTATGGCTGGGCTTTCCTGATGGGTTTGCAAAGCTCACCAGGCCTGCGGGAGCAAGGTAGTCAGCTGCTGAGGGAATCCATCAAACCCTGATGAGGTAAAGCATCCTTAAAGCATCCCTTCCCACAGGGTCTTGCTCAGGAGCACATTTGCTCCCCGGGTCCCCGAGCTGGCTGCCTCCGCAGAGGGATGTGATGGGCCCTGCTGCCAGTTCCTGTGCGGTCTCTAGGAGCTGTGCCAGCGAGTTCACCGGAATGAACTCCTAGCCACAAGCCCTTATATCTATGTGGGCTCTGTGTATATATTTTTAATATGAAGGAGAATACTGAATCTTCCTGTTTATATGCTGGATGAGGTGGAGCATCATCAGATACTGTCCCTTTCCTGTAGGGGCAGATTGCGGTGGGTTCATGGAGTGCAGTTCAAGAATCATCCTATTTTAATCCTGCTCTCCCATTGGAACTTTAACTATCCCATTGTTCTGAAGGCAAGGAAAGTTGGGATGTTCTTTCCACTCCACACAGCAGAAGAGGATGCTGCTGGCAGACAGGCCAAAATACCACAGGAATCGCATCAGTAGTCACTTTCTAGAGTAGATGTGCATTAGCAAGGCTCCTGTGATGAAGGGTACAGCTTTTTACTGCTTGGGTTAAGGCTCTTGGCCCAGCTGGGATGCAATATCCCCCTACGTGGGAAGAGTGGATGCAGGAGGGATGCAGGTCCACAAACGTCAGCCTGCCCCATGGATGGCTGCTTCTGATCATGGAGGTGATATCCAGGAATCAAGAAGATCTGGGCCAAACTCATATTCTTGCCCTTTTTGCCTCCCTTTCTGTATCTTCCTGGATGTCTTCTGCTAAATATTGCCTTCCCTACAGAGGGATTATACCTCCAGCATGATGCTAATCCTCTGCAGCTGTTGTCCAGTGTGGGTTGGGTGGTGCTGGAGGCAAGGGAAATATTTATCTTAAGTTTTGCCATTGGATACTGCCCAGGAAAAATGAATGGCCGTACTGGGGGCTTTTGCCACTTCTGCACACGGTGGGAGGTGGCCTTCCTGCCATGTGCAGGAGGGGACTGAGCGCTTCCCCGGTGAGCTGCACCAAGCAAGATTTTATTTGGATGGGGGAAAGCTGCGTGCCCTGACAGCTCCCCCTGGTACCAGGTGGGGAAAGCCTTGGTGTTGCTGGAGGTGAGAAGATGATGGATGTGAAGTTGTGCTGAAACAAAGCTGCAGCCTGTCTGCTTTGCTGTCACCTTGTGTGTTGCCCCTATGGCGACGTTCCTCCCTGTGAGATGAAGGCTCTGGCATTCTTCTGGCAGAGCCACCTTAGCACCACCGTGTGCCCCTGCCCAGGTAGCATCCCGAGCCACAGCCCTTCCTCACGGTGTGCTATGATCATCGCAAGTGGCTTTCCACGATTCCCTTGACTCCACAGCTCTTCCCTCCGTCCTCCTGCAGCAGCATTTCCTCTGGCCTTGAGGCAGGCTGTCAGTGCTTGGCGTGTCCTGGCCCCGGCTCTTCCTCTACGCTGAGCCCAGCTTCCTCTCTGCTTTCCGGGTCCTCTCCCTGCAGCACGCAGGGATCCCTGCCCCAGCTCTGCAGAGGAAGAGGAGGGTGGAGGCTCCTGCTGCAGAGGAGGAAGCACATCAGCCCCTGTGACAACGCTGAGCAGGCAGAAGCAAGTGCTCCCTCCCTGGGGCAGTGGGTGCTGCATGGAGTCGCTCTGGGTGCTGCTGGCCGTGCTGGGGCTCCTCATGGCCACAGAGGTGGCCCCCAGTGTCCCCAGCCCCCAGCTGGGAAGGGGAATGGGGCAGGAGGAGCCGCCTTGCCCTTAGTCCTGCAGACACAGGCTCTGGTCCTGCCCGAGCCCCCAGGGCGTTGCGGCAGGGGGATGTGGGTGCAGGACAGCTGAGGACAGCCTTATTGCCAGCCTGGTGTCACCTCCTGCCCCTCCGCGGCGCAGAGCTGTGGGGGCCCCATCCCAGAGGACGCCGAGTTGCGGGTCTTTTCCAGGTTGGGCTTCTCCAGGCTATTTTGGGAAGCTGGGACTGCCCAGTGGGGGTGTATCCTGGCAGGGCTCAGCTGAGCGGGACTCCACGCGAGCCATGGGAAGCTGCTGGGACAGGCAAGGTGCTGGGCTTTGACCGGGCCCTCGCTGGGGCTGAAGGGCATCCGGGGGTGCCCTGAGGGGCTTGTCTTATGGCTGGAGGGGCGCAGCCCCCACTGGGGGCATGCAGGGCAGAGCAGGAGCCAGCAGCGAGGAGCCTGAGCCCTGCCGAAATGCTGGAGGTTGTCTCTGGCAGGTCCCTGGCTGCTGTCAGCAAGCGTTTCCAGATGGCCCCGGGCTCCTGGCACCAGCTCCGCTGCAGCATCCGGGGAAAACTGGGGGTGGGAAGTGACGTCCCAGCTGGCCTACACAGGACAGCCCCAGCCCCTGTTCCCACACGGCTCCTTCCCCTCTCAGCCTGCTCCCAGGCCTCGTCCTCTGCTGCTGCCCCTGTCCCACAGCGAGGAGCTGCCCCTGGCTGAGGCAGGGCCACCTACAGAAGAGGACGGGCATCCTCAGCCAGCTCCAGGGCATCTCGGAGTGCCAGGTGCTGGGCTCCCCCCGCACCCTGCTCCCTTACAAATCCTCAGCACCCCCGGGGGAGCACAGCTGCCGTGGGAAACACACCCGCCCTGGGAGCTGCGGCTGTGCCGACCTCCGGCGCTGCCTCGGTGGGGGCGGCGAGTCCCAGCTGCACGTCGCCTTTTGGCCGGGCTCACCCCTTTTGTAGCCCCCCCAGTTTGGAGCAGGCTGGGCCCACCCGTGGCTCCACAGAGCCCCCCCAGGTGCGGCACCAGCAGTGGGTCCACAGAGGGCTGTAAGAAATGCGTTTGTGTTGTGGGATTTTTTTTTCCTCCTTGTGTTTCCTGGGCCAGAGCTGAATCAGGCGGCCTGGCCTCGGGGGGCTTCCCATCCTCCCCCCTCCCCAAATCTGGAGGAAACGAAGGTTAAAACCTAATAAAAAGGGAGCAAATCTCCAGCATGGCCTGGCAGGTGAAAATCAACAGCACAAAGCCACCTGGAGGTGTGATTCCCCCCAGTGTGTCAGCATTTCCTTGTCCCCCACAGGGCCGTGTCCCCCCAGCGAGCCGTGGCGGGGAGGGCCGGGGGCTGGGTGTCCCCTGCCGTGGGGCTCCCTGGTGCCAGGGCTGGCAGCGTGGGGCAGCGGGGTGGGAGCCAGCAGCCGTCCCGTCCCATCCCGTCCTTCCCTTTTAAAGCAATTAGCGGCGCTGGGAGCTGGCTGCAGCCCGGCCCGGGCACCCTGCCAGCAGCCCCAGGCCCGGAAGCGGGGGCGCGGGCTGGGGGCTGGTGACAGGGACGGGTTTGTCTCCATCGCCGGGCCAGGGGCACAAAGGCTTCATGTCCCCCCTGCTTCTTGTGACTGAGGGGGAAGGGGGAAGGGGAAGCTCCCTCTCGGGCTGTCGGGGGTATGGAAGAGTGGCTGGAGCCCCGGGGGAAGCGGGGTGGGAATGGTGGCTGCTCCCTGCCCCCTGTCAGAGCCACCCACACCCTTTGTGAGAGGAGAAACTGAGGCAGGGCAGGCTCCGTGCAGCCCCATCTCACTGTGGGGTCAGGGAGGGTGCAGGACTCCTGAGGGCCAGAGGTGGGACGGGGGACACGAGTTGGGGTCTGCGTCCAGGGGCAGCCCAGCCCCTCGCCCCCGTTAGCACTGGGTCAGGCTGCCTTGGGTACGGGGCTGTGGTGTGGGTCTGACCCCACAGCCCCCCAGGGCAGCAGCTCAGCCCCCCCCCCCAGCTCCTGGCCAAGCCAGTGAGGAGCAGCCACCACGGCCATGGGCATCGCCTGCCTCAGCTCCTGCCTGCCCACGGCCGCCCTCATGAGTAACGTTTTTCCCTGGAAAAAAAAATATAAATAAATAAACCCTACACTAGGATCTAATCTCTCCCACTCCCAAGCTCATTCCTCTGATCTCCGCAGCTCCTCCAGCTTTCATCTTCCCTGAGGAGAAGCTGCCGTGTCTGGGGGAGCAGCCAGCAGGCCCCATTCCCACAAGAAAAGCCCTGGGCCTGCATGGGGATGGGGGAAGCACAGCACCACTGACCCGTCCCCCACCCACAGCACCCCTGCAGCCCTCGGCCCCACCAGCCAGGCCCTGTTGAACAAGGCAGGCTGTGTTCCCACGGGGCCAGCCTGGCGAGGCCGCCTCGGCTGCAGAGCCCGTGAAAGGCGGCTCTGTCCTGCTGCCAGCGGCCCCCTCAGAGAAGCAGCCCCCGGGCAGCAGGGCCACAAGGGGCAGGTGCAGCTGGGGGGCATGGGGAGCCCTGGCTGGGGCTGGGGGCAATGTGGGAGCCCCCCCTGCTCCCCTCTCCTCCCCCTGCCCTGACACTGCCCCACAGCCCCCAGCCCAGCCCCACAGATGCCTAGGAAGGTGGCACCCTTGGGTGAGCATCTTATGGCCCCACACCTGCTGAGCACCTCATGGGGAAAGCCGCTTTGACTCCTGCCCCCCCCCGTCCCTCCCCTCTGTCCCCATCCCCATCCCATAGCCCCCCAGGAAGGACAGCACCATGGCTCTCCTCGCACCCAACCCATTTAATACAAGTACAAGGCACCCCTGCCCGCGGGGCCAGGGGAGGCTGGCACCCCAGGAAGGGGAGCGCACGCCCCGAGGGCTTCATCCTGCAGCAGCAGGGACCTGGGCTGACAGCCGAAGCGGGAGGAAGGGACCGAGCTGAGCCAAGGGGGTTGCGGAGGCAGCACCCCGCTCCTCACGCCAGCCAAAGACCCTACGGGAAGGGAGCCCGGCCTGGCACCTGCCTTCCGTGTTGGGTTTCCCGAGCTCCGTGCTATCTTTAGGCACTGCGTCCCCCCCCCCCAGGCTGTGGAAGGGAGCGTGGCCGTGCTCAGCCCTCCCTTCCCCTCACTGCCAGGCCACAGGTCCCAGCGGCTCCACGGCCACTTGCTGCCGAGAGCTGCCCGCTGGGGGACTGGGCATGCAGTGCCAGGCACATTCCCACCTCTCCTATCACTCCCACAGGCACTGTCCACAACTCAGCAGCTGGATGCACGCTGGGGAACGCAGACCTGCCAGGGCAGAGGCACAGGGCGATGGGGGACACCCTCCTCTGGAGCAGCCTGAGCTGCTGGCAAGGGTGTCGTGAGGGAGGGGGGCACCCCACCAGCCTGCGGGACATGGGTTCCGTCCAGCCCTGCTGCCCCCAGCTCCTCAGACATCCTCCAGCCCCAGACCAGGTGTGGAACCGGGTTGCGCAGACAACGGGGGGCTCAGGGACACCCCTCACCCTAGGCTGGGGCAGGTGGGGATCCCCCTGCTGGGGCTGGGGACACCAAGCAGCGGCAGTGCACGGGGGCGAGGGGGGAGTGGGACGAACCTCTGGGTATAAATAGGCTGCTGGGGAGGGGCAGGGCAGGCTCGTCGTTAGCACCATGGTGGCAGAGGGTGGGGGAAGATGGGGGTCAGACCCACTCCTGCAAGGAGCGCTTGCAGTACAAGAGCATTCGGGGCGTGCCCTTCCTCTGCATCTGCACGATGACGTAGATGAGGCCGAGGATGCAGAGCAGCAGCACCAGCAGCACCAGCACCATCACGACGCTCATGGTGCGCGTGTACTCGTCAATCTGCACCACCACGTCCACGTCCCCGCCCTGCTTGCGGCCGCCCTCGCTGTAATCCTCCTCGTCCTCCTCTTCCTCCTCCTCATCCTCCTCCTCGCCTTCGGACCGCCCTCCAGGGTTCTCATCCCCCATCGGGGTTGAAGGGAGGCTGGTCGACGTCAGGCCACCGGGGGTTGGGGTCTGGGACCAGCTCCACCTGGCAGCCCATGAAGTCCCGCAGGATGGATTTGGGATAGCCCGGCTCCGTTTTGAGCCGCTCGTTGTCGAACTTCCAGTACTTTGTGCCTCTGTAGAAGTACGTTGAAGCTGGGGGAGGAGAAAGAGACGGAGGTGAGGGGTGAGAGGCTGCAGTACCCCTGCCAGGCACAGCACACGGCCGGCCTGCAGGTTGCAGCGTTTGCTTCAGGATCTGCAAAACAGGGGAAACAGGGCTCCCTGCCCCTTGGAAGGGCTAGCGGGGCAACTCCTGGGCTCCCTCCCAGCTCCCTGTTCCCATCCGACCTCTGCAGCACCCTGCTGTGCCCACACAGCCATACTCTGTGGCCCCCTGCTGCTGGAGGGGCCGGTAGCTGCCGACAGAGGAGCCCGCATCCCCCCTCACCCCCTCTTCTCCTCTACTTACAGGCATCTGAGCTGAGGAAGGCACCCTTGGGCGAGGGAGGGATGCCCACCCAGACCGAGATGGGCTTGGGGTACCCGGGGTCCACCGAGCGCGTGTCCTCGTTGAAGCGCCAGTATCTGTGGGAGGCAGAGGGACCTGATGAGCTGGCAGCGGGCACGGACACTGCCCCCATCCCACAGCTGCAGACAGCACAGGGGGCTCTGGCCCCACTTTTTCCCCCATCAGCTCAACAGACCCCCTGTAGGAAGCCGTTTGCCAACAGCTCAGCCTCCCACCTCCACCCAGCCCACACCATCCCCGCGGGGGGATGACCCCAGAGCCCCGGCGAGGGCAGCACGTACCTATCCCCACGGAAGAAGAAGGTGTGCCCCGTGGGCTCCCACCAAACCGCCGTGTCGATGCTGTCGTAGGGGATGCCCTGCCCGTAGGTGGCCAGCGGCTGCGGGTACCCAGCCTCCAGGTTGGCTTCTCGGAAGAGCCAGTACCGGTCCCCTGGGTGGGAAGGAAAGGGAGAAGGGAAATGAGGCTGCAAAACAGCTGGTGCAGCGTGCATGAGTCCGGACAGGGAGGGGGTGTGATGCCTGTGGCCACCCCAGCCCTTGGTCATGGTGTGGCAGCACGCTCCACCCCAGCCACGCCGCTCACCTTTAAAGAAGACAAATCTGCCATCGTGCCTCTCGTAGGCAGCGTCGATGTCCCCGGGCAGGCCCCGCCAGAAGTGCCCGATGGGCATGGGGTAGTTGTCCAGCACCCGGTTGTGCCGCACCCTCCAGAACCACCGGCCCTGTTGGGAAGCAGGGTGTCAGTGGGGCACACGGGGACAGAGCTCTGTGCTCAGGAGGCCAGGGCACCATCGTCTCATTAGGGCCCTCCAGAGCAGATATAGGGTAGGAGGGGGGTCCTGGCAGGTACCTTAAACACAAACATCTCCCCCCGCAGCACCGCCACCGTGTCGAAGTTCCCATCGCAGATGTCGGGGCCGTACTGGTCAGGTCGCTCTGGGCTGCCAGGTTTGGGGGGCCGCTCCGGTTTCCCTGGTGGACGTGGCCTGGGGGGTCTCTGGTCCGGCCTGCCAGGTCTTCGGGGCGTCACGGTGGGCAAGGGCTTGGTGGGCTGAGGGAGCCTATCTGCGGTACCTGGGCAGGGGAGGGGAAAGAACGGATGGAGAGCTTGCAAACCAACACTGTCAGCGCCTCCTTCCCCCCGCTCCCAGGCCAGGCACAGGTCCAAAACCACGCACCCAGCTTCCAGCTGGTGGAGCACCCCTGTCCCTCTGCCCAGCCCTCGTCCCAGCTGTATGTCCTCACCGTACAGCTGTTGGATGCCCTTGAGGTCATCCTCAGGCAGCTGGAAGTTCTCCGTGTCCATCCACTGGTAGAAGGGGGCCATGATAGCACTGGGGTTGCTGGAATGTTCCAGGCCCAGCGAGTGCCCCAGCTCGTGCACGGCCACCAGGAAAAGGTTGTTCCCTGCAGGGAAAGGCACTGTCAGCAAGGCGGCATGGGGCATCCCTGTGCCAGGGATGCTCTGCCATGGGACCAGAGCAATCTGCGTCACCCCGAGGAAATGCTCCGTCTGCCCTGCAGGCACACATCACCCAGGCACAACCAAACCCTGCCTTCTCCAACCACCTTGCCACCCCAGCCCCCTGCATCGGCTCACCAGACACATCCGTGTTCTCCAGCGTCCAGGGCTCATCCGAGTCGAAGTGCGTGTCCCCACCCATCCCCGGGCCGGGGAAATAGGCATGAGCCAAAAATCCCCCGACGCCATCGAAAGGGGAACTGTCCCCGTGGAAGCCGGAGGCAAAAAGCACCATGATGTCAGCCTCCTTCTTGCGCTTCTGACGGATGTCCTCGTACGGCACCTCCTGGAAGACGAGCGGCGTGGCCTGCTCCCACACGCGGAAGGCTTGGCGGATGGCCTCGTACGAGTGGTACCGGCCCAGCTTCTCCGTGTAGTTCTGGATGCTGGGGGCACAGAGCAGGGCCTCAGTCAGGCTCGACCCACTGCAACCCTGGCCCAAAGGGTCTGCAGCAAACCCTCAGCCCGAAAAAGCTGCCGCGTGCTGATCGCCGGGTACCTGAAGGTGAGATGGCTCTGGCTCCAGCGCCGCCCCGTGAGCGCGTACCTCTTCCGCCGCATGTTGGACTTCATCTGGACCCCAAACTGGTCTGGGACCCCGCAGCGGGGACGCTTCATCCACCTGCCAGGAGGGCATCAAGTGAGGGCTCAGCGCACCACCCGGAGAAATTACGGCCACCGCAGCCAGCGAGGGGAGCTGCAGGCGTGGCAGGGAGACGTGGGTCCCATGGGAGGCAGCACCCACACACCCACACCGCTGGGTGCGTACGCAGGCAGGGCGCAGGCAAGCTGAGCTTTCCATAGCCTGCAGGGGCTCACTGCCAGCAGCAGATGACAGCAGTGGCGTGAGCACAAAGAGCAGATCAGACATCTCCATCGCTCTGGGAAAGGGAACTTGTGGTCAGCCAGAGGCTGATCCCCGCTAAAGGCGCTCGGGAAGAGGTGGGCTGGAAAGTCAAGCTCCCTTCTGCAAGAGCAAGAGAGCAGCTCGCGGAGGAACTCACATTTTGGTCTCCTCATCCAGGACACCAGTGACGGGGATCCCGTAGAACTTCTGCATCTCCGAGAGGGCTGCGGAGAAGATCTGAGCAGAGCGCATGGTGGACATCTGCCTGCTGGACTGGGGCAGGTAGCCATACAGCCGCAGCCACGCCTGCGAGAGGAAAACAAGCATCAGGCTGGCAGGCGGGGATGAGGAAGCCTTCCCTGAGCTGCTGTCAGCCCCAACGGGAGCTGCCCCAGAACAAAAAGCTCCTCGAGATGCCAGCCACGTGCACACCCCATGGGCCTGGACCGCCGGTCCCAGGAGCACCGCTCCTGGGGATGCTCTGTGGGGAGCACTGCACCCGGGCAGGGTGCGAGGCTGGCAGAGAGCACAGGGCAGGGTGTGAAGGGACAGCTCTGAGGGGCTGCTGGCCCTACCTGCTGCAGCACAAGGGCCACGGCACTCTCCAGATAGCTCCCCGAGGCCAGAAGGGGCCAAATCACCGCAGCAGGCGCGCTCCCGACGTGGGGCCCTGACCCCAAGCCCCGCACCATCGCTGCTGGGCCGCAGCCCAGGTGCCGCAGGGACGAGCGGCGAGCGAGCCAGGAGCGAGCAGCGGGGAAATGGAAATGGTGCAGCTGGGCCCAGCCCTCGCCCGGGGCTGGGCAGGCGCGGGCAGGATCCCTGCTCTGCTCCTACCTCCCTGGGAGCAGCCAGCGCTTTTGTCCCTGCGCTCCGCTTGCGGGGAGAGGCGAGGCCGCTGGCAGAACCCGCCGGGAGCCGGGGGGAGCCTCACGGGGGGCTCAGCACCCCCAGGAGCTGCAGGCAGGAGGGCGAAGGGGAGGCTGGGGGCAGTGCCCTGTGCTTGGGGCCGTTCCCGTGCCCCCCAGCACCGCTCACCCCCGGCACAGCAGCGGGGACAGCGAGGCGCTGGGCTCGGTGGCTGCAGGGAGCATCTCCGGGTCCCCGAGCTGCCCCCGCCGCCCTTTGGGGTCACAGCGGCGCCACCCGGGACTGAACCAGCCCCAAAGCCCAAATCCCCGAGCCGCAGCGCCCCCTCCCCGACCCCCCTTCACCCCCTTTTTCCCCGCTCACCTCGGCGTTGACCTCTCCGCCCGTGGCCGCCCCCAGCAGCAGCAGCACCACCAGCAGCAGCAGCAGCAGGGCCGGGAGGCTCCCGCCCGCCCCGCGGGGGGCACCACCGCCGGCCGCCATCCCGGGCCGTGCCGAGCCGAGCCGTGCTGAGCCGGGCCGGGCCGGGCCGAGCTGCCCGAGCTACGCCGCCCTCATGGGCCGTGCCCGGGTCGCCGCGGGGGCTGCGCGGAGCTGCATGGGCGGCGCTGCCGGGGCCGTGCGGGGCCGTGCGGGGGGCTCAGGCCGGCGGAGCGCAGCCCATGTGCCTCGGCTCGGCTCGGCCAGGCGCGGGGCGGTGCTGAACGGAGCGAGGCGGAGCCGGGCCGAGCCCCCCCGCCCCCGACTCCCGGCCCCCGGGCGCCCCCCGCTGCTCCTCGCCCGCGGCCCCGGACTTTGGCCCCGCGGTGGTTTCGGTGCCGGCGTTTGCCCGAGCAGGTTTCGGGCAGCCCGGCTCCGTGGGCGCACCGGGAGCCACCCTTGGGTGCTGCCCGAGGGTGGGAGGGGAGGGTGACCCCAGCCAGCACCCCCGGGGGGGGGGCAGCAGGGCCGGCTGCTGCAGCTGCTCGCTGGGCACTGACCTCTCCCCGCTGAGCTCAAACCACACAGAGAGCAGGAGGGGGGGGGGTGGCAGGAGCCAAGTTTCGGTGGAAGGCTCCAAGTCTTTTTATTTATTAATTTATTTATGTTTTAAAGGGGAAAAGCAAAACAAACGGGCAAAAAACAACTTGGGGCATAATCACTTAAAGTCCGTGCATATCCCTATCCCAGAAGCTGACTAACTAAAGATGGGGTCTGGATAAAAAGGGGGAAGGGGCACGCTGGAAGCAGCAGTGAGCGGCACAGCAATCTGCCAAATACCCGGGCCAGACGCGCATCCTAATGGGACTGCTGGTGTGCCGTGTCCCCCTGGAGCGAGGTCCTGACTGCCTCAAATTCAGCTCCCCCAGGCATCTTCACAGGCTGCACAGCCGACGTGCTGAGCCACCCAGAGCAGAGACTTGGGCAAACGAGTGCTGGGACCCTCAGCTGGCAGTGCCGAAAACAACAAAACCCAAAACCAACATGCAGCTGAGGGAGAAGAACGAAGGGGGGAGGGTTGTTCCATTTTATCTGAACAATGCATTGAATTTGCTGCTTCTCCCTCGCCGTCCCCCCAGGAATTCCATTAATTTGAAAACCAGATATTGCAGGGGAGTTGGCAGACAAAGACCTGCACTGAGACAGAAGCTCCAATGGCTGTGAGGGCCCCGAGCTTCCTTGTGTACAAGTGGAAGGAGAGTGCTACACCCAGCTCACGGCAGGCGTTGCAGACACGGCCTCATTTGAAGTCTGCAGGAGCCGCTGGAGCTGGGCACTCCTGAAATTGAACAGCTCAAATACACCACAGAAGCAGTTTTACGACACGAGGAGACAGATTTTACCGTCAGAAGCAGCCTCGCAGTTTTTCATCAGACAAATGTGAAATGAAAGATTGAGGGCAGCACAGCAGCATCTCGCTCTGAATACCTAAGAGGCTGCAGCAGACCTTCCCGCAGGACAAAGGACAGAAAGGAGCTTCTCTCAAGGGACAAAGTCCAGCCCACAGTCAACAGGATCATCGCTGCTCCGACGGTGTTGTTTTCACGGGAAAGTCCGTGTGTGTGCCACTCCTTGTCTTGCTCACCAGCAGGCACCGCCTTTCCAGCTCAGTCACGATATGAGCCGACACTGCCCTCTCTTGGGCTCGCCCTAGGATGACAGCCAGCTCCTGACGGGCAGCTGCCCTCCAGAATGGTCCTTTTGACACACACGAGCTTAAAACAAAGTCGTTTTAAAACCAGCCCGACGCTACGCTGGGTTAGCGCTAAAACACGAGGGGTTTCCAACCTCTCTGCCGAGATTTAATCTTTTGGATGTTTGGTGTAAGAACCTGGTACTGTGATTTTTCTGTAGAGGCAGCAACAGCGTGAGATGGACACAGAACACGACCCGTGAACTCCTCCGGGCTGGGTTATGGTGGGGAGATGCTCTGGTGCAAGAGCCTAGCTCTGCATCCTTGTCTCTTGCTTTTCAGAACGAGGGACCCTGAGCTCAGCAGTCAGCATGCTCCAAGCCTCCTGACAAGAAGTTGGTGCTATTTCCAACTGTGTGAGACATGCTTCCTTTAGCAAGAGCTTCCCACGCTACCTTCTTTCTCTTTAACATAAGGCATCCATGGCTTTGATACATTCATATATATATTAAAAATCAGCCACCGTGGGATGGTTGGAACCACCAGTGCTGACTGAAGCACATCCTGGCTGCTGACAGCACGCTGCAGTAGGAAATCTGCTACACACACACATTTCTTCAGCCAGAAACTCAAACCTGGAAGTTTGATACCACAAACTCCCCAGAGCTGCTGAGCAGACAAGAAGAACGTGGGAGGTGTGTGACAGCTTCCACCGCTTAGAGCTGTGCTGGAGAACAGTTCTTTGTTGAAATGCAGGGTCTTCAGGGCTCTCAAACCTACCAGGCCCTACCTCAAGGGGAAGGAGAAGAATTTGTTCCCTGACTTGCAGCGGATTTGCTCCCATTGGACACGCAGAACGAGCGCTGAGTCCTCAAACCTGTCCACAATGTCCTGGAAAACACAGGCAGAAGGCAGGAGTCAGTACAGGGAGGGTGGACAGGGCAGTTCCCAGAAGATGGAGTCAGCAGCTGCTTCTCTGAACCAAGTCAGAGATGAGTTTGTGGCTGGCAGCTTCTGACTTCCTTCAAGAGGTTGGTTTAGCTCATTGTCCCCACAAAAAGTTTATCTTCTTCTAATCCAGCGGGGTTTGCCTCAGAAAAACAACTCCCCCTCTGCTCTTCCCCTCCTCTCTGCCTGGTGTGGGGACGTACCTGGAGCTCCTGCAGACACTGCCCCTCCAGGCTGCCAGTCAGGTCCCCAACACACCAGGCCAAGCTGATATGGAACGATGGGTCCTGAAGATAAAACACGGATCAGATTGCAAGAACAGAAGGTGGCTTTGCTCAGTGCAGGGAGCCACAGGGGGATATTTGGTACGGTGCTGCCCTGCCTGTGATCTCTGAGCACTTCCAGAGACAGAGAAGTCAGGGTTTGGTCCTTCAAAATCCAATCCTGTCCCCAAAGTTAGTGCCAAGCAAACAGGTGGACCTGATGCCCCAGGAAACTGCCTGAGGAGGAGGCACAAGCATCTCCTCAGTCCCACAGTACTCCATGCCCCACTCAATCCACTAGGACAATCAGGGATTGTCCTACAGTCCTACACAGTGGGATTGTCCCCGTTGTGTCTGTGATGTGCTCTCTCAACTGCAGGCACCTGACTCAGCCCCCCCCAGAAGCCCAATTCCCAGAAGCTACTCAGCAGTTAACATCTTTACTCTCCTGGACAGGACACAAAACAAAACTTACGCTAATCCCATTCTCAGCAAGATCCTGTTCAGGGTGTTAACAGTGAATGTCACTGACTAGCCCATGGGAGACCACTTCAGAGTCTAACCTCACCATTCCCAAATATTTGGGGTTGAACATTTCATGGACTAGCGGCCCCCCAACCCTCACAGGTAACCAGCCAGCATCTCCAGACCAGCAGGGAAATGCAATACACCTCACCTTGTAGAATGTGGGGAGGTCAAATTCCTCCATAACTTTGTCCACCTCTGAGACCAGTTCCAGCAGCTGGAAATGCCCAGCGGAGACCTCCAGTCCAATGAAGGTCCTGAGCAAAGACAAGGAGAGAGCGCACACACCCTGTCATGCTGCAGAAAGCACAGCCAGAAGCATGCTAACCATGTATTCCTACCAGGCAAAGTTCCTAGCCCTTTTTCAAAGCAGATAAAAAAAAAGATACTCTGAGAAATGCTAGGCTTTAGCATTCAAGCACACTGACTATTCTGAAAAAAAAAAGCCATAAAGACGTGGCAACAGGGAGAAAACTGGAGAAGCAGGACTGGATCACTGCATCATAGAATGGCTGAGGTTGGAAGGGACCTCTGGAGATCATCTGGTCCTATTGCCCTGCCAAGCAGGATCACCTAGAGCACGTTGCACAGGGTCACGTCCAGGCAGGTTTTGAGTATCTCCAGAGAAGGAGACTCCACAGCATCTCTTGGCAGCCTGTTCCAGTGCTCTGTGACCCTCACAGTAAGGAAATGCCCCCTCATATTCAGCCATAACTTCCTGTGCTTCAGTTTGTGTCCATTGCCTCTCGTCCTGTCGCTGGGCACAACTGAAATGAGTCTGGTTCCATCTTGTTGGCACCTTCCCTTCAGATATTTATATACATTGATGAGATCTCCCTTCAGTCTTCTCTTCTCCAAGCTAAACAGGCCCAGCTCTCTCAGCAGATGATACATAATGCAGGCTTACTAGATTAACTCAGCACCTTTTGAGACATGAAAATTCGTTTTCCAGGCAAAGGACACACTTGATGGGGTATTTCAGCAGAGCACTGAACACTACGCCCTGTTCAGTAGTTACATTAAAGAAAATGTAAGTTGCTACAGTTGTACAGTGGGATAGGAAGTGGCTAGGAGGTATCAGCTGAGAACAGCACAAATGGGGAAGTATGAAGCTGGAGAGACGTGACAAGAGGTTCCTCCTCAAGGACCGTCTTGGTGATACTTTCTGTATGCCTGTGCCTGATGGCACGGGAGGCCTGGAGGACAAATATCACTCAGGAGCTGCTTCCATCCGCCCATGACTAATGTGCTTTGCCATTCCCATTAGATTTAGCAACTTTTCATAATTGTAATCACCTTTCTTTTAATGTGCTTTGACATTTAAACTACTTAATTGTGTTAAACTGGAATTGGCACTATCAGGGTTCTGAGCTGACACGCAGGTGAATTAGCACGCTCAGAGCTATTTGTCTCCAGCCCTTTGAAGGCTTGCACTGCAATTTCGAGATCAGCATAAGCTGGCACTGCTGCCAAAAGAGGTGGCCCCCACTCTGCCTGCCCCCAGGCTGCTCATTCCCCCTCACCCACTCACCCGGAGCTGGCATGAGGATCTGTGAAACCACAGAGCAAACCAGATCGGAGATGGCGATGCACTGGGCTGCCTCCTGTTGGCAGCACTGTCTGCTCCAGCTGATGTGAAGCTGCAGCATTAGTCTAACCCCAGCAAAAAGGCCTGCCTCGGGTCATGTTGTGAACACATCTCCTCTCGTAAGAAGACTGAAATTCTGCAGCCTGAGGTTCAGTCACCACAGAGAATAATCACTCCCAGAGAATCAATATTGAAGCTGAAAAATTATGCACCCTGGAGCACTCCTAGAAGTGGCTGAGCAAAGATATGAAACCTCAGTCAAAGAGGTGGTAAGATGGGGAGATTGCATTCTGGTCCTCCACACGACTGCCTGCAGCAACTGCCACAGCACAGGACAGGCAGCGCCACGCTTCCCATCCACAAACCACCTCACCCAGCCTTCTCCCCAGGCAGGCTGCTCCAGTGCTCGCTCACCTGGTTTTGTTCTGGTTGGTATACACTTTCATTTGGTTAGCTACACAGAAGAACCTGAAATAAGAAAGATGCTTTTTCAGATAGGAAAGGAAACAAACAAACACAAAAAACAGTTACAGAATCACAGATACAGTTACAGCTTTACAGATACAAAATTTCTACCAAGCTGTGGAAAGACAAAGGCAAACACTTGCTCCAGTCAGACTGAGCTGGTGCAACTGGAACCTTTCTGGGCTTAACATAATCCATTTCCCACTAGTGTTTTCAGCCTTCTGAAGCTCAGGCAGAAAAAAAAAAACAAACACTAAAACATCTGATCCTTGGTGGGTATCTCAGCCAAATGTAAGCAATGGAGCCAGCAGTGAATATCCACTGTTTATAGGACAGCACAGCTCTGGCCTTGTCCTTGAAAGCAGAGTCCTTGCAGGCCACAGCAATATCACCAGCACAAATGTGGCTGGCCTGCTGATTTGTGTGGTGCTGGATCCCAGGGCAGACAGCAAACTCCCCAGGCTTTACTCGTGCAGCACCAGCTCCCAGAGAGAAGCCTTACTGTGCAGATACTGATGAAGCAGAGACCAGACCAAGTGCAAGGAAAGGAACGGATGCACAGGAGCTCCTGTGAGGCTCAGCTGCTCCTACCTGTCATAGGAGGCCAGGCGCTCCTTGAGGGACTGGACAAAGGGGTTTATCCAGTGGTAGCGCAGCACCACGCTCTGCGAGAGACTGATGTGGAACTCTTCCATGGCAGTGAGTGAGGAGACATAGGTTCGAGCATGGGACACTAGGAGGTCCAGCAACTCCAGGAATTCCTCCTGGACTTTGTCTGCAAAGCAAATGGCAGCACAGTCAGCGCCAGCTCCCTCCCCACAGCATCAGCCACAGATCTGGGGGACAGGGAGGAACTAGCACTAGCACTGCTATTCCTTACTCCAGTAAGGAGCCTAGTGCTGTGACCACTGCTCCTACCAGACCACTGGACAGACCAGGAAGAGGCTAGGTAAAAACCCATCTACCCGTCCATGCTCTGCATCTCTTTTTTTTAACAGGCTGCTCTTCTCCTGCCCTTCCATTAGAGGCCTTGGCACTGCGAGCAAAGATGACTGGACTTGCTAACCCAGCAGTCACTTCCAGCTCATGGCAAGAGCCATGGGTCTCTCGATCCCCCTCCTGATCCCTACAGACCTTGTGTGCATTTGTGGAAAAGGCTGCTGTGCTCAGTGCAATGGGCGAGCACATTTAATGACAGGCTGAGAAACAGCACCTTGTGCTGGGCAGGGATGCCTGCTCACCGACAGCTTGCAGAGGGAGGCACAATTGCATGAGTCTATGATGTTTTGGGGATGACACGTGTTTCACAGCCCAGTCTTACCTGCACCCCAGCTCCTAAACCAAACACAAGCGGACTCTCAGGGCCCTTCGCAGACTCTCAGGGCCCTTCGTGCCTTACCTGACCGGGCTGGAACCCGTGCCCAGCACTGACAGCCCCTCTCCCCAGGGCTCCCTGCCCTCCCCGTGCCCACCCCCGCTCAGGCAGTTTACCTACAGGGCAAGTAGACGTGGGTGGCCCAATTGCCCCGCTCGTGGGGGAAGCAGCGCACACGCCCGCCGTGCTTGGCTCTGTCCTCCGCACCCCTCTCCTCCTCCTCCTGCTCCCTGAACATGGCCAGCACGCTCTCGGGGACGGGCAGGCGGGCTGGGGCCGTGCTGCTGGGAGGGCAGAAGCGGCGCTCAGCACCCGCACCCTCCGCCTGGCCCCGGCCAAGGCTCGGCAGGGACCGGCTGCGGGGCGAGCGCCTCCCCAGGGACCTGCCAAAGGGCTGCGGCACCCACCTGGCCCGGGGGGAGCCCCGCGGGGAGCCCGGGGGAGGCTGGGTCCCCGCCGCCCTTCCTCCCCCCTTCCTCCTCCTCCTCCTCGGAGCTGCTGTACCCCACCAGCGCAGCCCTCATGGCGCTGGGGGGCGGTGCTGCGAGGCTCCCTCCCTCCTCCCCTTCCCTCCCCTTCCTTCCCTTCCTCCCTGCGAGCCCCAGCAGCGGCCCCGACCCCCCCGCCGCGGCCGGGAGGCGCTGTTGGCGGCGCGGCCCGGCAGGGGGCAGCCGCCCGGCCCGGCCCGCTCCTCCTCCTCCGCCTCCTCCTCCTCCTCCTCCTCCTCCTCCTCCGCGGCCGGCCCGCTCCTCAGCCCGGCCGCCCGCCGCCCAGCCCGGCCCGGCTCGGCCCGGCCCGCGGTACCGGCGGCGGCGGCGGAGGCAGCAGCGGGCGGCCCCCCCCCCCCCCCAACCTCTCTACCCGGGCTCCCCCCCACCCCGGCGGCCGCCGCGGCTACGCCAGCCCGGGGATCGGGCGGAGCGCGCAGGCCGCGGCCCCGCCCGCAGCGAGCGGGGCTGACAGGGGCCTCCCGCCGCAGGTGAGGGGCCCGGCGGCCGCCACCACCGCCTCCTCCTCCTCCCTTTGTGTGGGTCTCGGAGGGCTCCGGGCGGCGCCGGGGCCGCCTCGGGCCGGGCTCGGGAGCCGCGGCCCCATGGGGAGAGGCGAGGGGCGGCGGGGGCCCGGCCGCGGGCTGAGGCTGAGGCTGAGGCTGGGAGCGGACCATGCCGGAGGGGGCCGAGCCGCTGCTGCAGTTTGAAAGTACCTCTCCTGCTCGCCTCGGATGGTTGCCGCTTCGTACCTCCCCCGGAGGGATGAGTTAGGCGCCGAGCGGGCGCTGCTGGCGAGGTTGTCGGTGTAGAGCGCTTGGCTTGGAACAGGTTGGTGCTGCTGCTCTGCTGGGGGTGTCTGAGCGTCTCCTGGCCATCAGGCTGGCAGCACGGAGGCTCTGGGGTGCTGGCCCCGCTCCTGTGGTGGTGCCGGTGTTGGGGTCAGCGTGGTCCAGCGGGGGAGGTTGGTGGCTGCTGTGTGTGGCGGGGTGCGGGGCTTTTTGTCTCCTCTTCTAGGTGCTGCCGCTGCCAAAGCGCTCCCATCGCGTCAGACGGCAAGGTGAGCCTCAGAGGACCAAGACAGGAGATCCTGGTGGGAAACCGTGTCCTGGCAGGTGGAGCATTGGGGTGTTTTACTGCCCGGGTCTGTGCTGGAGGACACAGTAATTCAGTGTCCCTGCAGGCAGAAGCGTGCACCACTGCTGCCCGAACCTTGAGGCGCAGTGGCCTGCTGCCTGAACCTTGAAGCCTCAGCTGAGTACAGGGGCAGATGGAGATCATTAGAAGCTATTTTCTCAGGCACCCACTGAGCTTAAAATAAAACAACCCCCTTCCCAGAAGACCAAGGTTTCTACTTGTGCTGGCTGGAGGCAGGTTGTTGTACACAGAAGTGGGTATGTTCCTGAGGGAGTAGGGGACTGTGGCCTGGGGTGCCAGCTACAGCTTCTCACCAAGGCCTGGATGCATCTTGAGGTGTTCTGGCATGGTTCATACCTGCTGCTCACTGTGCGGATTTAACTCTTCTTAAGTTGACGTCATGTTTTATTGGACATCTCCAGAAAGACCAAAACTTTCCCTGTGATGCCTTAGAGCCAGGGAGCGTGGCTGGCACAAGTTCTTGTGCTCTAGTGTAGTTAGTCCACACTTCGGTAGAAGGTTCAGCCAAACAATTGCTTTAATGCTTCTTTTATCTTCGTGGGGAGCGCTGTGCATGAGACCTGTGGGTTCTGTGTTTTGTCTGCAGGTAGGATAATGCTGAGGGCAAACCTTTCCCTGAGCTCTCTGGTTCTTCCTAGCCTACACTTGCCACAGGTAGAGAGGGGAGCCTCCTCTGATGCTATCAATGGTTCATGTGCCTGATGGTGGAGCTTCATGAGGAGTTTGGGAACTGGAAGAGCTGAGCAGTGAATGTGTTCATCCCGTTAGAGCCGCCCCAGCAGATGTTTGGGAGCCTCCTGTCGAGCATTTTGGTCACACCGTACCTTGAATGTTTCTCAGAAAGAAAATATTTTTATGCAAAAAAAAATATCTAAAAACACAAGTAGAAATTGTAACTAGCAAACTCCCGCTGCTGTCCCTAGCCAAGGTGGCTGCCACAGAAGAGCTGCTCGGTCAGGGAGGCTCAGACAGGAACTGGTGATGTGTCACCAGATGCTCTCAGCCAGTGCCCCAAGCGGGCTGGGAAGGTGGGTGACCATGGAGCATGGAGTACTGGGCTGCCAGCACTGACAGAGGCTGCTTCTTCGCTGCTTCACCACTCAAACACATGTTTGGGTTGGCCAGACGAGCCCATCCCTTTCCATGTGGAGCAGGCCTGGCTCTTCTGCCAGCAGCCTGCAGTGCTCCGGCTCTGGTTAGCCCTCTGTGCTGTTCCCCAGGTCGCCTTGCAGGGCTGCAGGAGAGTTTGCAAAGTGAGCCGGGAGTGGGCGTTGAGTAGAGAGCTGTCTGTCTGTCCTCCGAGACCTGATGTGAATTATCTTCTTCCTTGCAGAGAGAGCTGGTCCCTGGGCTGCACCTCTCGGCCTTCCCAAATGTGACATATCACAACCAGCACAGAAAAGGGCCTCCTCTTGTCTTCAAGGCACTTCCTTCTACCTTCCTTTCTTTTGTCCAAAAAAATAAAAAAATAAAGTGAAACGGAAAAACAGAACATGTAGTTCACAAAGAACTTTGGCTGGTCTAAAGAGGAGCCTGTGGCATCTCAGCCTCGCTGCCTCCTAAGGTCCTGGCTGTGCGCTGGATTTCCTATCCTCGACTTCAGGATCAGCGACGGAGAATCAGGATCGTGGATCATTTCAATTTTTATTTTGTACTTGAACCCTTTCAACCGAGAAGCTGAAGCTGTCACTGCTAAAACCCTGTTTCTTTTTCCCAAGCATGTCAGAAAGCTGGCAGCAGCAACAGCAGCAACCACAGCAGCCGCCGCCGCCGCAGCAGCACCACGCTGGGGCAGCCACCCTCCCGGAGCATTCCATCCCACCCAGCACTGCGGACAACCCTCTGGGCTGTGCCGTCTACGGCATCCTGCTCCAGCCCGACCCGAGCCTGCAGCACCACCAGCACGCCCCGCTCCAGGCCGGAGAGCCGTCCCACAAGTGCGGGGTGTGTGGCCATGACCTCACGCACCTCTCCAACCCCCACGAGCATCAGTGTCTGCCGGGCCATGACCGCTCTTTCCAGTGTACGCAGTGTCTGAAGATCTTCCACCAGGCCACCTGACCTGCTGGAACACCAGTGCATCCAGGTGGAGCAGAAGCCCTTTGTGTGCGGGGTGTGCAAGATGGGCTTCTCTCTGCTCACTTCGCTGGCGCAGCACCACAATGTCCACAACGGCAACGCCATGAAGTGCTCTATCTGTGAGAAGACCTACAAGCCTCCCGAGGCGGAGCATTCCCAGCCTCTGGATCCCTCGGAGAAGCCCTACAGCTGCTCCATCTGCCAGAAAACCTTCAAGCACCTCTCGGAGCTGTCCCGGCACGAGCGCATCCACACGGGTGAGAAGCCCTACAAGTGCACCCTGTGCGACAAGAGCTTCAGCCAGTCGTCCCACCTGGTGCACCACAAACGGACGCACAGCTCGGAGCGGCCCTACAAGTGCACGGTGTGCGAGAAGACCTTCAAGCACCGCTCCCACTTGGTGCGCCACATGTACGCGCACTCGGGGGAGCACCTCTTCAAGTGCAACGTCTGCGAGCTGCACTTCAAGGAGTCGTCCGAGCTGCTGCAGCACCCCTGCACGCCCAGCGGGGAGCGGCCCTTCCGCTGCGGCGAGTGCCAGAAGGCCTTCAAGCGCCCCTCGGACCTGCGGCAGCACGAGCGCACGCACAGCGAGGAGCGGCCCTTCAAGTGCGACCTCTGCCAGATGAGCTTCAAGCAGCAGTACGCGCTCATGCGCCATCGCCGCACGCACAAGGTGGAGGAGCCCTTCAAGTGCAACCTGTGCGAGAAGGGCTTTGTGCAGCCCTCGCACTTGGTGTACCACCAGCACGTGCACGGCATAGAGAACCTCTTCAAGTGCAACGTGTGCCAGAAGGGCTTTAACCAGTCCTCGGAGCTGCTGCGGCACAAGTGCGTGCAGAACGCCGAGCGGCCCTTCAAGTGCGCGGTGTGCAACAAGTCCTACAAGCGGGCCTCGGCTCTGCAGAAGCACCAGCTGGCCCACTGCACGGAGAAGCCGCTCAAGTGCACGCTCTGCGAGAGACGTTTCTTCTCCTCCTCCGAGTTCGTGCAGCACCGCTGCGACCCGGCCCGTGAGAAGCCCCTCAAGTGCCCCGACTGTGAAAAGCGGTTCAAGTATGCCTCGGACCTGCAGCGCCACCGGCGCGTGCACACGGGTGAGAAGCCCTACAAGTGCCCCTCCTGCGAGAAGGCCTTCAAGCAGCGTGAGCACCTCAACAAGCACCACAGCGTGCACGCCCGGGAGCAGCAGTACAAGTGCATGTGGTGCGGGGAGCGGTTCCTGGACCTGGGCCTGCTCCAGGAGCACAGTGTCCAGCACACGGCTGAGGGCGCCTACCAGGTGGCTGCCTGCTTGCCGTGAGCCTTCTGCCCTTCGATGGCTTTCAGCTTGCATGTGATGCTCCCAAGCCTCGGCCTCCCCTTCCCTCTCCTCAGTTGTAGGTGGCCTCCAGGGAGCCGCGGGAGAAGGGGGAGGAACAGTGGGCAGCCAGGTAAATTTTCCTCTGGCCTCTGTGGTCGAGAAACCCCCGTGCTACAGGTGGGTTGTGGCTGGCATGAAAAGCTCAGAGGGTGGAGAGGAAAGGAGGGAGGTGGGGAGAGGAAACAACGCCTGCAGTTGCCTGGTGCCCCCCGGACTGTAGTTCACGCCGTACCTGGAGTTCCAGTGCTGGGAGCTGGCGGGTGTGAGCTGGGCTGCCCCCCGCGCATAGCAGTCCTTCACACGCGGCCTCTTTCCCCTGTCCTGCCTGGTCAGGCCAGCGGAGAGGGCTGGGTGACTCCTTCTGGAGAGTGCTTGGGAACAAGGCAGAGGCAGCCCTCCCTCCTCCCCGCGTGCGCTGCTTGCTGAGGAAATAGCAGGTGTCCACCGCTGGGATCTCCCA